TTTTTTTTTTTTTTTTTTTTCATTTTTTAGTAATTTTGTTTTTGCTTTTGATATTTCTATTTTTTATTTTAATATTACTATTTATGTTTAATGTTTAATTCAGTTATAGTTTTTGTTGTTTTGCATTAGCTATTTTCAGTTTTCATTTAATTTTTTTAGGTAATTTTTTATTACTTTTCTTATGTGCTTTTTGTAAATGTTACTATTTATGTGTAATTTATTTTATTTCAGTTTTAGCTTTTGTTTAGTTCTAGTTTTTATTTCTTTTCAGTTAGTAGTTGTAGTACTTCAGCTTCAGCTATTTCACATCTTTACATTTACTATTTATATTTTATTTTATTTCATCTTTATTGAAATGTTTTAAATTGGTTTAATTAACGATAATAACCCAGGCTCACTCATTCTTTCAATCACTCTTTCAAAATCATTAAATCATTACTCAAGTCATTTGTTTATTCTTTCAATACATCACTTCATTCATCCACTCACTCAGTTCAATCACTCACTCACTCACTAGTTCATTCACTCATTCGTGTACTTATCAAAGCCCTCCCATTGCCCTGTCATTGTCATTTACATCCCAGAGACACGCTGAATCACTTGATAGGCGTCTGGTTCTACACACCACAAATGGGTGTTTGGATTGATAAATTGTACGGAGCAGTCACCTTCAGAGACATCAGTCCTACACGACTCCTGCCAAACCACAGGCTAGAAAACTAGCCAGCAAAAATGCATGACCATGCACAACTATTTGAAATGTATGGTCAGGCCTCAGCCATCAGCATTTGTATTCAGTTTCACCGTGTGTTTGGCCGATTCCACATTTCATTCCACTGATGGGGTAAAACAACAGAGCATTTTATGAAGAGCAGAAGTGATTTCTCCAGGGAGATGGCTTAACTCAAATAATACCATGGGCAGGACTGAAGCGCTCAAACCAGCTGCCAGGCAATCTATTATCAGCTCCCTCAACCACAGCAAGACCTACACATATACACATCAGACAAAATGTTCTTAGGGCGCTTTCACACGAAAGCCTTTTGTGCTTTTTGGGGAGAAAACAGATTTCCAAACTTGGTGTCTGCACCCAAGTCTATTCGAAAAGATGGTCTGGAGTGAATACGTGATGTACAGTAGAGCTCGCAATTGTTACAAAACACAAAACCGCCTAACTTGTAGGACTGAGCCGCTTATTCCCATTCCTGAGCATGCTCCTGACTATTTCTCATGACTTCTCCCCTCTGAATACATTTTATTTGAGAGCAGCTCTGCATTCTTTCAATTAATTAGCGACAGACAAATGCGAATGTGGTTTTGCGCATGTAAAGTTTAGATGGCAAATTCAAAAAGGACAAATACTCAACCGTAAAACAACTGCACTCACATCAATGATGCAAAAGTACCGTGGTTCTGACCCAAATAGTGTAAAAAGACTTGCAGGAACTGCGGGAGCAAGCTACTTTATCAGCCATTCTGGACGTATTCTTGAATTCAAAAATGAAAATAGAACACAAAACGGAGTCAAACACAGGGGCCATTTTTAAAAATGTAACTTTTGAAGTTAACTTTGAACCAGCTAATCAAGGTCTTCCAGGTAGATGTATTAGGGCAAGCTGGAACTAAACTCTGCAGGACGTTGGCCCTCCAGGAGCAAGTTTGGACACCCTTGCTTCAGAGGTACACCAACATGTCACTGGGACAATAGCCTTAATAGGACAACTTTGTGACTTGTCTACCCCTAAAGTTGCATATTAGTACCTTAAGGCAGTGGTTCTCAATTCCAATCCTGTGTTCCGATTGACAGGGTCCCTACACAGTGTTCATTATTTGATCCCTACTGCCTGAGCACAGGAAATACATTGAAGTTTACTTCACTTTGGAACATTCATTCACGGATTTCTGCTACGCTACTGCAGCGTCTTCACACACAGATGAACCTTACTAAAGAAGTGTGAAGTGTGACATAATATACCTCTGTAAATAAATACAATTTAAATTCACGTCTCGCGCACTTTAATGCCCTTTGAATGGAACATATACACTCCCTTCGAACTGGAATCATGGCGGAATATCCTGTGAAGTCCATTTCGCAGGGCACTATACGGTCGAATAGAACAAACATCTGAAGTGATAAGAGAAACATACAAAATGTACAGAGCGGGGGGTCGTGAGGACTGTAATTGAGAACCACTGCCTTAAGGTATGCATTGAAAGAATGCAGAGTAACACCTTAAGGTACTACTATGAACCTTTTCAGGGGTAAATACTTACCCCTAAATAAGGGTACTGACCCAGGGACAAGATGTTGTACCCCTAACGCTATGATATTTCCACAGATGGTCCTTTGGCTTTCTCTGTGATTTACATTAACACCCGAACTCTAACATCACAACTCTGATTTTCTGAATGTAATCTGAGACAAAGGAAGATCGCCAAGAGATTCTCTTTTCAACAGTTTAAAATATTTAAATATGAGCCCATAAAGAGAATCTGTGTCTTTAGACTCTAAAAATGTCCACATAATGCAGCAAAAATCTCATATGCTTCACATCAAACATACACACTTATCCCTCTTCAATGACTAACGTACATCTATTTGTGCGTCTGATGAGGTGATGCAGAGAAGTGCTTCACAAGCTTAACTGCTTCAAGCTGCCCTTTAAGGGGGTCTGCACCACAGATCTTCTCTGTCTTCGCTTACACAGGACTCTCATATTCATTTCTCCAGAGCACGGCTGACAGATCAGAGGTGTGTCCGTGTCTGGGAAAAATCCATTTGCACTCTGAGCGCGGGACAGATACTCAACTCATCATGGAGTTTAAAAACATTTCCATCGTGAGCCAAATGCTTCGCCATTACAGACAATGAGCAGCATAAGCAAATGAATGGCATTCCAGGGACACACTCAGTTGTCCCATTTAGAGCCACTGTCTGCAGAGCTGGTGCTACTACATTACGCTGATGAAAGGAAGAAAATGGGCCGTGAAATGAAAAAGGCACTGTAAGGAGAAAAGTGTGCGTGTGAGAGAAAAACTCTACCTTGGCAAGCGACTCCCCATTCCTCGTATCCTATGTTGCACAGGCATTTCCCAATGGGCACCAGCCACTCTCCCTCGGTACTGCAGTACATTTTTGGCGGATCCTCTTCCCTGGAATTGTTGACGCAGGAGCCCCTAACCTCCACGAGTGACTGAGAGTCCGTGGGTACCGTGTCGGGAAACATAGCCAGGTTCCTCACCGTAAAAGGGCATTTTTTAAAGTACACCCGCACCGAAACTAGGGCCACGCAGGCTCCCACGTCCTGGAAAGCCAGGTAAAAGCCCTTCTTAGTCATGGGTCCCACCTCACGGACCTCTGTGTTTAACTTCAAGATACGGTCGCCCAGGTCCATCTGAGTAAAACTCTCATCGGCGGCGATGGTGTCTATTTTGGAGAACTGGTGCTCACGAAACTTACTTCCCTGGTCTTCATCAGTCTCCAGGTAGTGTAAGTTGAACGTCTCTTTGCAGGTCAGGACCATGGGAATACTGTTGCAGTCTCTCAGGGTAAACTTGAGCTCCACATAGATTTTCTGTGCAGAATTGCGAGGAATCCAGTTGGTCCTCAACCAGTTGTTCTGGCTGTATTCCATCACGTTGCACACCTGGAAGGTCCGGATGGGTGTGTAGTGCTCATCCACGCCGCTAATTTCCTCCCACTGCAAAAAGAGAAAGAAGTTAATCAAATCTATTCTGAGGGAAGCGAACGGCTACTGTACTCCTGCATTTCAACAGAACCGAGACGAATGTAAAACACCTGAGCGGCGAGGTTATTTATTTCTCAAACACATTTGGAATAATGAATCGTTTCAAATTAATATCTCCCCTGTTTGGATAATTAATGTGGGACATAATTAACGAGGCCCTCCACTCTGAGTACTCTCCCTTGTAAAGCGAGCCTGACAAATCATTTTGTTCTGTCACTAAGGGTGTCCGAAGCCACAATGCGGCCAGAAGTCTTGAGGTTTAACGTACACAAAGCAAAATAAATGATGAACTGAGAGGCAGTGTTTTCTATTACAATAATGGAGTACTTTATGGCTCTTTGTCAAGCTGAAGTTTATAAAAGCCCTTGGCTGAGTGAGGCAAGGCCTCTGGAGTGGCTGTGAGCTGTTCATTACCCGGCAGAACAAGTGTGCCCTCAGACTGAAGAATTGCCTATTTGTGTTTCAACCGCGAGGGTGCTTAATGAAACACGCCAAAAGGAGCTTTTTTTCAGCACGTTGTTAAGATCTCAAGGATTTAATATATTGTTTTGCATCTTATTGTTTATAGATACACAGCCTTTATTTTGGAAGTAAAGCAAACTGATTAAACTCACTGACAGCTGGAATTCCATCCACATATTTTAATGAACACTTTGGGATATTGCATATTTAATGATAGATGGAAAACCAAGGTGCAAAAAATTCA